GCAAAATGTTGAAATCAAGACGATGGCTCCCAGTAACTGAATTTCTGTATTCAGTTCTAGCTGGACTGTCAAACACAGAGAATAGAGATGAAGCTGAAGAGGTCCGGCAAAGGCTAGGCCCTGGAGGTTCTTGTTAAAGTCTTACTTTGAAGGGTTCTGAGTAGAATGACAAGATCAGATCTGTGTTGCATAGGGGAAAATGGACTTGAAGAGAGCACAATTGGAGGTAAAAGGGACCAATTAGGGAGGGCAGTGGTTAAGGGAAGAGATGTAAGAGGTCTACACTAGGATAGTAGCGACAAAAATTGAAGGCCTTGTTGGGAGATAAAATCTGATTTAGTGAATGTTTAACTGAAGATATGAAGGAGAGAAAGCAGTAAAGAATAACTTAGACTTCTGGCTTCAGGGACTGAGTGAAAGTGTCATTGAACTGATAGGGAATAATACCAGGAGAGACTTGTAGGGGAAGATGAGGAGGTTCCATTTTGGACACACTGAATTTGAGATACCTGAGTTACCTAAGTGGTGTCATCTGCCAGGCCGTTGGACATCCAGGTCTTCACCATGCCAGAGGAGCCTGAACTGGAGTTATCAGCATTTTGAGAATAACTGAAGTCATGGAAGTGAAGGTGATCGCTCAGGGGAAACCATGTAGAGTGTGACATAAGGACCTTGGTCAGGACCCTGAGGAATACCCAACATGTAAGGGATACACAGAACATGACTGAAAAATGACTAGAGTAAGAAAAAAACAGAATATGGGCCGGGCGCAGTGGCTCACACCTGTAATCTCAGCACTTTGGGAGGCCAAGGCGGGCGAATCACAAGGTCACATGGTGAAACCCAATCTCTATTAAAAATAAAAAATTTATTAAAATTTATATAAATTTATATTAAAAAAATATAAAATTTATTAAAAATACAAAAATTAGCCAGGTGTGGTGGCGGGCACCTGTAATCCCAGCTACTCAGGAGGCTGAGGCAGGAGAATCACTTGAACCCAGAAGGGGGAGGTTGCAGAGAGCCAAGATCGCACCACTGCACTCCAGCCTGGTGACAGGGCGAGACTCCATCTCAAAAAAAATAATAATGTGGTGATGTCATCAAAGCCAAGGGAAAAGCAGGGAATTGCCCATAGTGTCAAATGCTCCCTAGACAACAAAGATAAAAAATAAATAGGATCCACAGGGTTTGGTGTCCTGAAGGTCATCTGTACCGCTGGGTGACAGTTTTGATGGTAGTAGAGGGGTGGAAACCAGACTGCAGTGCATTGAGGATAAGTGGTGAAAAATGCAGAAAATGGATACAGAACAACAACATGGATTACTAACAAGATAAGGTGGCCAGGCGCGGTGGCTCACACCTGTAATCTCAGCACTTCGGGAGGCTGAGGCGGGCGGATCACAAGGTCAGGAGACTGAGACCATCCTGGCTAACACCGTGAAACCCCATCTCTACTAAAAATACAAAAAATTAGCCAAGTGTCATGGCGGGCGCCTGTAGTCCCAGCTACTCAGAAGGTTGAGGCAGGAGAATGGTGTGAACCCGGGAGGCAGAGCTTGCAGTGAGCCAAGATCGCACCACTGCACTCCAGCCTGGGCGACAGAGCAAGACTCCGTCTCAAAAAAAAAAAGGTTAAGGCTCAAAATCAGTATGCTCAACAAAAGAAGCTGCCTCAAAAGAGTACATACTGTATGGCTGCATTTGGATAAAATACTAGAACAGCCAAATCTATAGTGACAATAAGCAGGTCAGTGGTTGCTGAGACCAGGTGTGGGGAAGGGGAATTGACTGCAAAGGGGCACAAGATAACTTTTGGGGGTGATGAAAATGTTACATTGCTTTACTGGGATGTTTATGACACAGGTGTATGCATTTGTCAAAATTCATTGACCTGTACACCTAAAATGGGTATATTTATTATATGTAAATTTACCTTGATACAACTTATTTTAGAAGTTTCAAAAATACAGTAAGTGAATATAATTCATTCAAGTCTTTGAATAAATTCATCCATTTGTGAAGAGGAACAGCGGGTAGTAGCTGAAAAAGCATTTGAGGTAGAGGCAGAGTAGTTTTTAGAAGGAAAAGCATATTTAAGTTATTATTATGTACATTAAGTACTATTGAAGGAAAATCCAGAGAGGGGGAGCAGCTGACATTAAAGGAGGTGAGCAAGACACAACAAAGTGAAGAAATGCAGTAAAGTACTTTCCACTAGTGCTTTATCACTTATCACTAGACTAGTAACCAAACCTCAGGATTCCCAGGCTGGGACCTTCCAGTATAGAAAGTTTACTGCCAATACAGTTTGTGTTCTAGAATCGATTCTAACACTGAGTTCAGCTGATTATTGATGGTGCAACTATGAATAGGAGATACAGGTTGGTTATAATGTGAACAGAAATGGCCTGAGAAAATTATTGAAACCATAATAACATAATACATATATACTTCTGAAGACTGGTGGCAGTAGGGCTTAGAAAAGGGTTCATGATAAAAGGAATGAGAATAAAGTAAAAAGATGAAAACAGTAAGATTTTCTTTTTGTTGAATACTCATTATGCACCATGCAAGTGTTCGATTTTTTTGTTTGCTTGGTTTGTTTCCGAGACAGTCTTGCTTTGTTGCCCAGGCTGGAGTGCAGTGGCGCCACCTCAGCTCACTGCAACCTCTGCCTCCCGGGTTCAAACAATTCTTGTGCCTCAGCCTCCAAAGTAGCTGGGATTACTTGCGTATGCTACATCTGGCTAGTTTTTTTTTGGTTGTTGTTTTTTGTTTTTTTCTGAGACGGAGTCTCGCTCTGTCGCCCAGGCTGGAGTGCAGTGGCGCGATCTCGGCTCGCTGCAAGCTCTGCCTCCTGGGTTCACGCCATTCTCCTCCCTCAGCCTTCCAAGTAGCTGGGACCACAGGGGCCTAGTACCACACCTGGCTAGTTTTTTTGTATTTTTAGTAGAGACGGGGTTTCACTATGTTGGCCAGGATGGTCTCAATCTCCTGACCTCAAGTGATCCACCTGCCTCAGCCTCCCAAAAGTGCTGGGATTACAAGCGTGAGCCACCAGGCCCAGCCCTAAGTGTTTTATATAAACATTATTCTCATTTATTACAACAACCTTTTTGGCCTTCCCATTTAATATAAGAGGGAAAAAGCACAGGTCAACTAAACTGCCCGAGCATATATCTGGTAAATTATAAAAGTAGAATCACAATGTAAATATTTCTTTTTTTCTTTTTTAGAGAGAGAGTCTCACTCTGTCACCAGGCTTGAGTGCAGTGGTGCAATCTTGGCTCACTGCAACTTCCGCCTCCCGGGTTCAAGTGATTCTCCTGCCTCAGCCTCCTGAGTAGCTGGGATTACAGGCATGCACCACCACGCCCAGCTAATTCTGTGTTTTTAGTAGAGATGAGGCTTCTCCATGTTGGTCAGGCTGGTCTCGAACTCCCAACCTCAGGTGATCCGCCCACTTCAGCTTCCCAAAGTCCTGGGATTACAGGCGTGAGCCACCACGCCTGGCTTGAATTGCTTTATGAATAGTTCTGTTGAGATTGTACCTCTCCGAGTGGAGCTAAGTTATGTATTCAAAAACATTTAATACATGCAATGTGTAAGTCACTGTGGAAGGTGCTTTGGAAACTGCAAAGATCACGAATGAGACATAGTCCAGGAGAAAAGAGGTTATCTATCTACCAGAAGAAACTGACATATACCATAAAGGAGCCAAAGGTAAATAAGTGTTGGCAATTCACAGAAAGAATCATTTTTGAGGAAATAAGGATATAAGAAGCAAAGGGAACCTTTAGGAGACTATTTTATTGGTTCAGCCAAAAGATTCTCAGTGCTTGAATTAGGACAGAGGCAGTGGAGACAGAGGGGGAGAAGGTTATTAGAGCTATTGCAGAAGCCGAAATTGCTGAATAATTGTGAAAAATAAGGAGAGAGAGGAATAGCAAATGAAGCCCAAGTTTCTGTCTTGGTTAGCAAGTGCATGGTGGAGCTATTTGCCCAGATAGGGAGTTCAAGAGGAGGAACAATTTGACAAGATTAGGAGACAGAAAGAGATGTCAATGTACTCATCCATCCCCCTCTGTGGATTATAGCTGAGCTGTGGCCATGTTCCTCAACCCAAGGGCCTGCACTGGTCAGGCCTGGGGAGGTGAGAACTCCCCACTAGAGTCTCTCTTAACCTATTCTGGTTCGGGCCCTGCCCAATTAAAACTAAAAGATAAAAAGACCTCTACTACTGAGAACCCCTAAGAGCTTCACCATCTCGACCTTAATTCACCCACACCTTTATGTATCCCTTTAACTCTCCTCAATGACCCTATTTGAGTGTGCCACCTATTTCCTGCCAGGACTGTAACACATCATATTTATGTATTTTTAAATGAGGTATGTATGTATAACTGTATATGTATAGGAAATATCTGGAAAGATGCACATCAAACTGTTAGTAATAGTGACCACTTGGTAATGGGGCCAAGGGAGGAGGAACAAAGGAAAAGAGGGCTTCTCTTATTTTATAACATTTGAATTCCTTAAACAAAAGGCCTGTACTACTTTGTTGTTGTTGTTGCCCAGGCTGGAGTGCCATGGTGTGATCTCGGCTCACCACAACCTCCGCTTCCCGGTTTCAAGCGATTCCTATCCCAGCCTCCCGAGTAGCTGGGATTACAGGCATGTGCCACCATGCCCAGCTAATTTTGTATTTTTAGTAGAGACGGGGTTTTTCCATGTTGGTCAGGCTGATCTCGAACTCCCGACCTCAGGTGATCCACCTGCCTCGGCCTCCCAAAGTGCTGGGATTACAGGCTGGGATTACAGCCACCACGCCTGGCCAAGGCTTGTACTATTTTTTAAATTAAAAAAAAAAAATTTTTTTTTAAGTAGAAAAACAACATCAGTGTAGTGCAAAAAGTTCAGTAAATTCACTGAGAGTAAACATGAAACCTCCACTTAATTCCCCTAAGAACTAGTAAACAAAATTACAGAGAAAAATCTTAAACTTAAAAAAAATTTAATGGTAAATACATATTGATAGAAATTATTCAGTTCTCCTATGAATGTAGCATCCGAGGATACTCTCTCCATGTTCACGGCTCCCAGCCCTTCCCTCCAGGCTGATGGGGCAACGTGAGACCCACCAAGCCAGCAGACTCCTCCACTGAGCGCTCACCCTTGCCATGAAATTCCTGATGTAGGGCCACATGTTCCCGGATGCTACGCAGGAGGCAGAGATAGGTGGCAGCTTGGAAATGAAGCTCATGTTGGGCTCTGCACAACTTTTCACTGGTGACCTAGAGAAGCAGCAAGTCAGAAACTCTTAACCCAGCTACAGATACAGGTCCACAGAGACAGATTTAATAAATAAGCATTCACTAGAGTGAAAGTAAATTGCACAGAGGAAATACAGACATGTATATATATACATGTATACTTAATACATCTGTAAAGGCACTCTATTAGTAAAGCTGACCTCTACTACATCTATAAAAGCACTCTGTAATTATTAGTAAAGCTGACCTCTACTTCGGATTTTTGAAAGGAGTTGCATTGAATGTTCCTGTATTCAGTCAGTACTGCAAGAAGTCACTAGTTTCAATTCCTTCATTTTACAGATGAGGAAACTAAAGCTCAGAGATGCTCAGAGGTTGGTTAATGGTAGATATGGAAATTATAATTAGGTCACTGATCATTAATGTCACCTAAATAATATAATGTAGAACTTTCTCCCTTTCAAGCAAATAAAGGACTGCTTTATTTATATTTCTGTGACTTTGATTAATGTGGCATACACCTTTCATTACAATGAAAATTGAAAACTTGGCTGGGCGTGGTGGCTCACGCCTGTAATCCCAGCACTTTGGGAGGCCGAGGCGGGCAGATCACGAGGTCAGGGGATAGAGACCATCCTGGCTAATACGGTGACACCCCGTCTCTAAAAAACAAAACAAAATTAGCTGGGCGTGGTGGCAAGTGCCTGTAGTCCCAACTACTTTGGAGGCTGAGGTGGGAGAATGATGTGAACCCAGGAGGCAGAGCTTGCAGTGAGCCAAGATCAGGCCACTGCACTCCAGTCTGGGCGACAAAGTGAGACTCCATCTCAACAACAACAACAAAAAAAAGAAAATTGAAAACTTGCTTTGTCTGAAAAATGATAGCTTTGTGCTAAATAGTAAAAAATGAAGGTTTTATGTATAAAAGTAGTATGCTTATGTTCATATTACTTATTACAATTGGCCCTCCATATCCATGGATTCTGCATCTTTAGATTCAATCAACTTCTGATAAAAAATACTCAGAAAAAAATAAAAGGATGATCATGTCTTACCAAACATATGTTTTATCATTATTCCCTAAACAATGTAGTATAACAACTACTTACATAGCATTTACATTGCACAAGGTATTATAATCTAGAGATAACAAAGTATACAGGAGGATGTGCATAGGTTATATTGCAAATACTACAGCATTTTATCTCAGGGACTTGAGCATCCGTGGATTTTGGTATCCCTGAGCAGGGCTGGGGGGTGTCCTGGAACCAATCCCCAGAGTTACTGAGAAATAGTTGTTCTTGCTCTCACCATTTGCTTATCCATCTGAAAAATCTGGACTCATGACTTTAAGAAGCTAGAAATTCCATATCCATTCCAAAGTCCCCAAATGACTCTAAACCTTTTTTCATCATCATACTTTTGAGATTCACTGTACCCTCTTTGACTAGTTCTGTATTCAAGGCTGTGAGAAAGGGGCAGGAAAAGTGAAATGGGGATGTGTACATAACTCTGAGTGACTAAAGGAGCCATGTCCAAGCGTGGATTAATCTGGGTACCACTGCCTACATAATCCCCACCCCCACCTTTTTTTTTCTTGAGACAGGGTCTCACTTTGTTACCCAGGCTAGAGTGCAATGGCGTGAACATGGCTGTTGATCTCCCTAGCTCAAGTGATCCTCCTGCCTCAGCCCCGCAGGTAGCTGGGACTACAGATGCGTGCCACCATATCTGGCTATTTTTTATGAAAACAGGGTTTCACCATGTTGCCAGGCTGGTCTTGAACTCCTGGGCACAAGCAATCCACCCACCGCCTCTTCCCAGAGTGCTGGGATTACAGGCGTGAGCCACCGCTACTGGTCTAATCCCCTTTCTCTATTTGAATATCTAGCGTTAGAATCTGAAAACTATAATGTGTGTGGCTTCTTGGTTTTTGAGACAGAGTCTCGCTCTGTGGCCTATGCTGGAGAGCAGTGGTATGAACATGGCTCACTGCAGCCTTGATTGACTTTCTGGGCTCAAGTGATCCTCCCACCTCAGCTTCCCAATTAACTGGAACTAGAGGATGGGACACCACACCTGGATAATTTTCAAATTTTTTGGAGAGAAGGTCTCACTACACTATATTGCCCATGCGGTTAGAATGTGGGTTTCAGGATCTGGAGATCATGTTGAAAGCAACATTCATTAGCTGCTTAAAAACATTATTAATCTGCTTTAATACAAATTTAACATTTTAGTAATCAAAACTTTATGAGAAATCAACACCAATATCAAGCATTAACAAATCATAGCATCCATTTCTATTAATATATAAGCCTAAATGTGTGGAATTTGACATGGGAATTCTAGGTTAACGTAGGATAGAATACTGCCCTTGATTTGGTTGAGCCTGAATCATGAGGACAGAAGGGTCAGCAATAGACAGGAAACAGTAAATAGATCACAAGAATATAAAAGAGATCAAATGAAATAGAACACTGCATTTTCCCTGTGAAGGGAGGTTTCTCCCTAATAGAATCCCTTCTCCAGAGGGAAAGGATAGAGAAAATGGGATGGCTGAGTTAGCTCTGAGCCTGAAGGAAATAGAAACCACTTCCCCTACGCTCAAGTGCATTCCAGAGTGGTATTTCCGGAATGTACCATGAATTTCAGAACCATTACCAAGTCTCTCTCAAGGGTAATGGTATCCCCATAAGGTACAACTATAATCATGTCACCTCCTTAAAAATCTTAGAATGGGGCCGGGTTCGGTAGCTCGCCTGTAATCACAACACTTTGGGAGGCTGAGGCAGGCGGATCACCTGAGGTCGGGAGTTCAAGACCAGCCTGACCAACATGGAGAAACCCATCTCCAAGAAAAATAAAATTATCTGGGCATGGTGTCGCATGCCTGTACTATTTGGGAGGCTGAGGCAGGAGAATCGCTTGAACCTGGGAAGCGGAGGTTGCGCTGAGCCGAGATCGCAATCTTAGAATGGCTTCCCATTACATTTACAAAAAAGTTTAAATTCTTGTTCCGCCTACCACCTCATCTACCTCCACTTCATCCACCACACCCTAGGGCTAAACCACTCTCAATTGGCAATTTTTCTCCCCTTTGGCTTTCAATTGTTTAGCTTTTAAATCTGGACCCTAACCCCAATTTACTTGCTAACTCCAAATTAGCCCTCAGGTCCCTGATTAATTTCCTCCGGAAAACCTTCCCTAACTACCCCTTCTTTATACCCCAGCCCCTGTTGTCTACACCTTGAGCACTTATTTATCCTAAATGCTTTACTGTATTGCTCCCTCAGGTGGGGAGCAAGCTTCTTAAAGGACAGGACCCATGTGCATCTGATTCTTTCTATTTAGACCAGGTTCCTAGCACAGCCCCTAAGTTATCACCTTTTAAAAACTAGGTGAATTTGAGTTCTAAGATTTTACATTCTGACGTCCATGGCTCAGAAATTCGACAGTTGATCGTTCTCCCTTTCCCAACATTGCTCAAGGGCAGCAAGTTTCCTTCCCTAAAGCCCAGTTTTTCTTTTCCGTCTCAAAAAGAAATGCTTCTTGGAATAACTTTTCTAGGGGACGGACGAGGAGATTGTTGGCCAAATGCTGTGGCTTTAAATCTAGTGACAGTACACCCTTCAAGTCCATCTTCATTCTTTAATCCCCAGCATTTCCTCTATTCCACTTTCCTGACTTTACCCTCCACAAAGGCAACAGACCAGCCAATGAAATCCTTCGGGACGGGTCCGCCCCTCTGCAGGACAGACTGACGTCCCCAGAGCGACTCTGCGCCCCCGCCGGTCCTTTGGTCCCCGAGTTTATGCCAGAGCATGGAGCCTAGGGCCTGGGTTGGTTTGGTCAGAACCAGGGCTCCGTGGGAAGGTTGGCCTCAGAAATGCCGGAATTAGACACCGTGCTCCCCATCCCAGCCCAGACCCGACTCTTCCTCCCGCCCCAGCACGTGGAGAACCTGGGACAGGGCTCCCGTACCCGATGTGCACGGAAAGCCTTCACAAGGTACCGATAGGCCGCGGTGTCGCGATAGGGTCGGCCGGTGGCCGCGCTCAGGTAGCGCAACTCCCGCAGAAGTCCTCGCAAAGTGCGCGCCGGGGACCCTAAAGCCGCCATTTTCCTGTCCTTCTCCAAGCCTGGTGCCCGACGACGTCCTACGACCCTGCAAAACCCCTCCTCCCGCCCAGGCGCCTAATGGTACGGTCGGACGACTACCGGCTCCTCCTATCGACTGACTAGCAGTGGAACCGCTCACTTGTCCGTTGTACCGAGCCTTATTAATCGAAGGCCGAGGGGCGCCCTAACAAGAAAAGCAAACAAAACCCAAGCGTTAACTGACGCTACCAGGTCCTCTAACCCACAACAAGGATTTGGGTAAATAGGGGCCTTTCTTCACGACGTCATTTAAGATGCCCGTTAGCCGACCAACCGCTGAGTCTGAGGAGGAGCGGGCCCAGCGCGGGGTGTGTGTGTGGATTTGATACGGAACACGCTGAGAAGACATTTTAAAATGATTTATAGAAGGGATATCAAAAGTCAACGTACTGACGTTTCCCCAAATACCAGGGCACCTGCGGCTCAGAGAAAGGACATGGGAGTGTGCAGATTCTCGAAAATTGCAACTAGTAAAAACACAAACACACGCGCTTCCCATTTAAAAAAAAAAAAGTAAAGTTGGCATATTTCGCTTTGTTTAGAAAGGGAAAAAAGTACTTTAAAGGCCAAAAATTTCAGGCCACCCCAGATGGGACTCGAACCCACAATCCCTGGCTTAGGAGGCCAATGCCTTATCCATTAGGCCACTGGGGCTTCTGTGAGCGACGCGCTCAAACAACATATTCAATTATTTTCCTCTTTGGTACGTCATCGTCATTTCATTTTTGCCTTACCCTATCCCACGAAACCACACCTAGCGCCCACGTGAGGGGTGACGTATGCTGGGACTTGTAGTTAGAGAACAAAAGTCCACATTACTGCGCCAAACGCTTTACCCTCGAAACTGCACCGATGCTCCGGACGTTGAACGGGCACGCGCACGCGTTTGCGTACGCGCTTGCCTGCGCAGTAGTCCCCGCGCCTGCGCAAAAAGCAGGCATACGTCGTCGCGGAGCACGCGCGCTGGGCAAATTGGCCGGATATTCGAGACTCGCCCTCTGAACGTCAGCCCTGTTGGGTTTTTACCGGAAACAGTCTGACCTTTTCCGGTGTTGCGACTATCCGGGTGGAGATTTGCTCCAGCGGCCGTTAGGTGGTGCCTGCCGCGGTCAGTTTCTGCTTCCGGTTGAAGCGTTGAGGCCATTTCCGCAGGCCGAGCGCGGTTGTTTACGCCTGTAATCCCAGCATTTTGGGCGGCCGAGGCGGGCGGATCAGCCTCAGAGCATCTTAGGTCGGGAGTGTGAAACCAACCTGACCAACACGGAGAAACCCTGTCTCTGCCAAAAATACAAAATTAGCCGGGCGTGGTGGCGCATGCTTGTAATCCCAGCTAGTCGGGAGGCTGAGGCAGGAGAATTGCTTGAACCCTGGAGGCGGAGGTTGCAGTGAGCCGAGATCGCGCCATTGCACTCCAGCCCGGGCAACAAGAGCAAAACTCCATCTCAAAAAAAAAAAAAAAACATGTGCCGTGTCCTTTGAATTGGTGGGTCAGCGGTAAACATGGGAGAGCGAGGAAGTAATAGTACATTGATTAGGAATTAATTTTTAAAATTAGCAGTTCATTTTTTGGTTCCGTCCCTAATTGTATAACTTGAACAAAACACTTCAGAGTCCCAGTAAACTTACCCTTACTTATAGTATCACAGGGGCTTCCCATTGTCCCTAAGTTCAGACGACATAAATTGATCCTCGCTTATATCTTAATCTTCATCTCTCACTTCGCTTCTTGTCACCCTTTGCTCCAGGTATCTCCACTTTCATTGTCTCTTCCCCACCACACACCTTACCTGTTATTCCCTCTGCCTGAAACTTAACCATTTGTGTTAATATGCCTCTTTACCCTTTGGGCTTCAGCTTATTCCAGAAGTGTAGGTTAGACGCATCTCTAGGCCCTTGAGGTCGATACCGCAAGGTGAAAATTACTCATTTTATAGAATGAGACCACCACTTCTCCTGCTGTCTTTCCCAGCTTTTCCCTCTCCCCTTTTCCCTAGTTTATAAGACAGGAGAAGGGGGAGAAAGCAAAAAGTTGGAAAGAAACAGAAGTAAGATAAATAGCTAGACGACCTTGGCACCACCACCTGGCCCTGGTGGTTAAAATAATAATGATAATATTAACCCCTGACCAAAACTACTAGTGTTATCTGTGAATTCCAGACATTGTATGAGAAAGCACTGTAAAACTTTTTGTTCTGTTAGCTGATGCATGTAGCCCCTCGTCATGTTTTCCACGCATGTTTGATTTATCATGACCCTTTTACATGGATCTCTTAAAGTTGTAAGCCTTTAAAAAGGCCATGTATTTCTTCTTCAGGGAGCTCGGTTCTTAAGACGCGAGTCTGCCAACACTCCTGGCCGAATAAAAAAACCTCTTCCTTCTTTAATCCGGTGTCTGAGGAGTTTTGTCTGCGGCTCGTCCTGCTACAATTTCACCTCCTCTGGTCCCCTGTTGCTCCCTTTATTTACTCATCATAAATAACTCTTAATGTAGGTACATGGCCACTACTCCATGCTGTAATTGTCAGGCTCCTCCATCAGACTGGGAAATTGTTCAGCTCCGAAAGCCCTGTGCCTAACAGAAAAGCCTGTTTCTTCACCAGGCTTTACTCCTTGGTAGGATAGTCATAACAGCTTAGTCTGAAGCTCCTAAAGGGATTGGCACTGTCTGGCCCCAATGGCTAGGAGACATAAGCTACTGAGCAGGAATGACAAACAAATGGAACATCAATTGTTCATTAATGAGGAAAGCTGACTTGGTTGGAAACCTGGTGAACTGGACAGCACCTAGCCCACCTGTCCAGGGGGCAGCCATTACTCACCTCCACTGATTGTTGCTATTTTAGGAAAGCAAATCCTTTAAAAAAAATTATTTTTCAGGAAACTCTGGAAATCTGTTTTAATACTATAGCTTTCCTTCTAAATATTGGCTACTAATGAATGCTTTAAAAGTACTACATGCCGCTGGGCACGGTAGCTCACGCCTGTAATCCCAGCACTTTGGGAGGCCGAGGTGGGCGGATCACCTGAGGTCAGGAGTTCAAGACCAGCCTGGCCAACATGGAGAAACCCCATCTCTACCAAAAATAAAAAATTAGCTGGGTGTGACGGCACATGCCTGTAATCCCAGCTGCTTGGGAGGATGAGGTAGGATAATTGCGTGAACCCAGGAGGCGGAGGTTGTGGTGAGCCAAGATCTCGCCACTGCACTCCAGCCTGGGCAACAAGAGCGAAACTCTGTCTCAAAAAAAAAAAAAAAAAAAAAAAAAAAAAATACTGCATGCCAAACAGAACAGCCCCACAGACTTCTAGTCTGTAAAGAAAGAAGGAAGGAAAAAAAAGGGCGGTAGGATTCAAAGTTAAGAAAAGGTAAAAACATGTGGTGCGCCTACTTCATGGGGAAAAAAAGCTGCTTTGATGATTCTGCCTTTTTACTTTTATTTTTTTTGGAAAAATTTTTAAAACTTTATTGTCTTTTTAAGTTTTTAGATGATTTTCTTCTTTCCTGTTATCTCCTTAGCCTGATACCCTGCCTTATCTTTAGGAAAAAAATGCTCCTGATAATAAATACAAAATGTAGTAAACTCATTTGTATTAACATGTAAGATTCTGTTCAAAACCCAGTCTCATTATAGGTCACTCTTCAGCACCCTCAGCTGATTACCACACTGGCTAAATTAAGGAACTTTAACATCTTAAACAGCTTTCTCAAGATTACCATTTTAAATGTTCCCCACTCTTGGCTGGGTGCTGTGGCTCATGCCTGTAATCCCAGCACTTTAGGAAGCCAAGGTAGGCAGATCACTTGAGGCCAGGAGTTCAAGAGCAGCCTGACCAACATGACAAAAACACATTCTCCACTAAAATTACAAGAATTAGCTGGGCGTGGCGGTGTGTGCTTGTAGTCCCAGCTGCTCTGGAAGCTGAGGCAGGAGAATTGCTTGAACCTGGGAGGCAGAGGTTGCAATCCAGCCTAGGTGACACAGCGAGCGCGAACCTGTCTAAAAAAAAAAAAAGTTCCTCGCTCTTACATATTTTCAGATTCAGGGTTTTCGGATAGTACTTTTTGGCTAGATGCACCAACTGATTATTTAACTGAGTGTACAGTGATAGCCAGCAGCCTGGGCAACAAAGCAAGACCCCATCTTAACAAAAAATAGATCGCCGTATAGATGGTGGTGCGTGACTGTAGTTCTAGCTACACAGTAGTTTGAGGATCACTTGAGCCCAGAAGTTCCAGGTTGCACTGAGCTATTATCTCTCCACTGCATGGCATGCTAGATGACAGCGAAACCTTATCTCTAAAATAATAATAATTGTTATTATTATTATAACAATAATCCCAGCACTTTGGGAGGCTGTAATCCCAGCCTGTAATCCCAGCACTTTGGGAGGCTGTAATCCCAGCCTGTAATCCCAGCATTTTGGGAGGCTGAGGCAGACGGATTGCTTGAGCTCAGAAGTTTGAGACCAGCCTGGGCAACAGCGAAAACCCACTTCTACAATAAAAAATTTAAACTTAGCCAGGTGTGGTGGTGTGTGCCTGTATTCCCAGCTACTTGGGAGGCTGAGGTGAGAGAATCGCTTGAGCCTGTGGTGAGCCTTGATCACACCACTACACTCCAGCGTGGGTATCAAAGTGGGACCCTGTCTCAAAAGAAATTCTTTTTTCTTTTTGTGAAAGTTTTTCTGTTTTGTTTTGTTTTGTTTTGTTTTGTTTGAGATACAGTCTCACTCTGTCACCCAAGCTGGAGTGCAGTGGCACGATCTCAGCTCACTGCAACCTCCACCTCCCGGGTTCAAGTGATTCTCCTGCCTTAGCCTCCCGAGTAGCTGGGACTATAGGCACATGCCATCATGCCCAGATAATTTTGTTTTGTTTTGTTTTTTGAGACGGAGTCTCGCTGTGTTGCCCAGGCTGGCGTGCAGTGGTACAATCTCGGCTCACTGCAAGCTCCGCCTCCCAGGTTCATGCTATTCTCCTGCCTCAGCCTCCTGAGTAGCTGGGACTACAGGCGCCCCACCACCAAGCCCGGCTAATTTTTTGTGTTTTTAGTAGAGACGGAGTTTCACCTTGTTAGCCAGGATGGTAATTTTGTGTTTTTAATAGGGATGGGGTTTCACTATGTTGGTTTCACTCCTGACCTCAAGTGATACACCCGCCTTGGCCTCCCAAAGTGCTAGGATTACAGGCGTGAGCCATCACACCAGACATTTTGTT